TTTCAATGTTTAAGATTGCTTTACAGACAAGTAAATGCTAGCTGCAGAACTGTAGCTCTCCGAAAAATTATATTGACAGACCGGAGAGCTATGTACAGTGCCACCCATTGAAAAAACTGTAAATCTATTGCGCACAAAAAAGTTCACTGTTTTCTCTATTTATTGCTTCATGTTTTTAAAACTGTCATGTCAAAATATCACTAACCGTGTGTTTCTAACATATCATTTCACTTTTTCCAAAACAAAACATTCTATATAATTGTTATTAATAGCCCTCCTGGCCCGATATCATCGAAAATTTCGTCTATTTATACTGCCATTTTGGTTTTCAAGATAATTCGGTCTAAGGCGCTTCGTGCAGATGTTAACTACGAAAGTGGTTTATAGAGAAGTAAGGAATATTTTGAAATCTAGCTTTTTTGCAATTGAGATTAGAATTTGGGAGAGTTAATCCAGAACCAAGCGCAAAATTTTGTGCGCAATAAATACACAGTTTTTTCAATGGGTGGCACTGTAGCTCTCCGGTCTGTCAATATATATTTTTTCGGAGAGCTACAGTTCTGCACCTAAGTAAATGCCAGCTTCTAAAAGTCATTAATGTTTTCTTAAATCAGAAATCATCATGTAAAGTTTCAGTCATAAATACTAAAATAAGTTCGGATGTCAATTACTGGTAATAAATCTATTTTCTTTAGAGAAGTCGACAGGCTTTCGCCTACATACATGTAGATGCAGGCGAAAGTATGTCTACTTCTCTAGAGAGAAAATCTAGAAGTCAACGCAAAGAAAAAAAATACCATATGCAACAATATGCCAAGATAAAATAAGTAAATTGTAAACAAGTAAACTATTGAGCACCTAATATCAAACAGGAAGCCTTAAGGCTACTAAGACACGTTTTCCAAGAACTCTTAATTGTAAAGCATATTTCATTACTGACTTTGTCACTACTAGCTATCTGTCTGCGGCCACCATTAATCACTGATTTAAGGAGGCGGGGGGGGGGGTCAACAAATTAACCATCAGATTTAACTTAATTTTTAATATATTATATCTTAAGCTGTGAACTATCATTTGGAAAAGAAAAATTTCACACATTTTTTAGTTTTAAAACTTGACCATTCTTCTATATCTTTATATGGAGCTCTTCTTCTAAAGGAGATCAATATAGTCTAAAAATGGCTGCGACCCGCTTGCCCTCTTAAAAAAAGTCCTTTACAGTTACAAATTGAAAGTGCAAGTAAATTGATTGATTGATTGTATATTGTTTAAACTCCCTCTCGAGAATTTTTCACTCGTATGGAGACGCCACCACTTGCCGGTGGAAAGCTGCAAATTTTGTCCTATGCTCGGCACTTAGGGCCATTGAGCAGGGATGGATCTTTTTCGTGCCAGCACCAACTGCGACACGGGACCTTGGTTTATACGGTCTCATCCGAAGGGCCGTGTACAAGTAAAAACAACTTGATTCATTCAAAGTAACCGGACCCTGAAGACCTCAAGGCTCTTAGATGTTGCTATGTCAGTGGGCAGACCATTCCAGTCCCTGATGGTCCTGGGGTAGAAGGATTCCTTGCGAATTTGAGTGTTACTAGATGGTACGACTGAGTCTTGACGGTGCTATTAGTTTATCTGATGTTTCAATTTTGAATGGTCCATTTTGGATCTTATAAAGAAGGATTAAGTTGACCCTCTTTGTACAGGGGCGCCCCCTGCCCCCTCCCACTTTTTCCCCGAACCTTACTTATACTATAGGAAATGTTAATGGAAAGCCTGATTGGCCCCCCACTTGTAGTGATGTACCGAAAATGTAGTATTGGAATTGGTACTGAAAGTAGTTGACACTGAAAAAATGTTTCCCTACCCCCCCCCTCCCCTCCACGGCCCTCCCCACTTTCAAAAACGATGCTACGCGCCTGTTCTACGCTCCTTCAGTGTTTCCCAATGCAGGGTGTCCAGCATATCTGTGACCGACAAGGTGTGGTGATATCGGTTGGTCACATATATCTGACTGCTCCCCATGGGATCATCTCGATCTTATCTATATATCCTTTTTGTAAACTATACATGTATAGTTTCTGTACAGGCGGGTTAGCTGTAACTTAAGGAAAACACAGGAAGAGACGGATCTAGGTGTTCGGGTCATTTTTATACATGTATTCTCTCAACCAGTCAACCATTACTTAGTAAATTACCAATTTGTCAATATCATTAATGAACATGTTTAGATATTTATTCACCAAATCTGTAATGATTGATGTATTGGAAAAATAGTAAAGGGTAACCATGAAAGAACACAAGTAAATCATCTATCATCAATCCATTCTTAACATAATATTTATGTGGAATTTCATGTGTTTTATAAAAATATTTTGTTTTTATAATAATCATAATCTGAAACTGTTTGCTACATAAATAACAAAAGCGATCATATGCTTGTTGCTAATCATTTGAGCTTTATTATGACACAGTCTTTTTATAGTATATTTTGCTATTGAACTATAATTAAGTTTTTCTGATCATCATTTCTTCACCAGCGAATCGCTTTATTCTTTATTACGGACAAGCAAACGGCCAAAGTTCCACATAGTCAATGGCGATGTCTCCGGTGTAGGATGTCCCATGAGTGGCACTAATTAAAATCTATGATCAATATTAAAAAAGATTACAAGCATTTGTATAAGTAAATATGCAATGCTGAAGGTATTAAGTACATGCCTCGTATTCTCAAATTATAACAAGAAAATTATTTTTTTTCTGGAAGCTTTTAAAGACAGACGTGATTCTTTCCTCAAAATAATGTTGGACCTAATTAAAAAATTGATATAGTTGAAGCTGTCAATTTTAAGACACGTCCCTAGAAAAAAAAAATTGGTTCTTAAGGTCATACGCAACGTAGTTTGAACTTTATTGTCTTTTCCCTGGACTAGGAGAGTTCCAAACTTGAAGGGATTGTTTGCTACATTTTAATGTCTATATATGCTGTTGTACACTTATTTCAAAACACGATTGGATAAACAAAGCATCTAGAATTTATATTTAGTAAATTTTGTGCATTTTTCTTTGAATTAAATAAGAATTTTCATCAATTTAGTTCTTTTCAAAAACCCAGGTAATGCAAACTGATATTTGCCTACGAACATCTGGTTGCACAATAATCTTAAATTAAAAATACCTTGTATAATTATAATAAGAAGGTATGGTACATTGCGAAAGTCCTTTATGGCCAAGCATTAGTGCAAAATTAAGGTGGGTTGCAATTTCTTATATGATATACAAGTATGTGTTTTCTCATCGTCGCAAACCACGGCCAAAATGTACGATCCTTTCCCCTTCTAGAGAGAGCTAAATGCAGGCTCCGAACCGTGGCTTGAGACGATGATTTCCCCCCGATATTTTAAAAATTGTTTAAAAGCAGGAGATATTAACATAATTTTAAATACATTACCTATCTTATAAAGAGATGAAAAACCATTGTCCTTTTTACAAAATATCTCACGACTAAGAAAAAATTGAAAACTCTGTAATTTATTAATTGATAAATATATTAATTATTTTCCTTAAAGATTTTTGTGTCCTAATGTTGCTTAGATGTTTGTTGAGGTCTTGGAATGTTTTTCCTTAATAGTAGTAAAACAAAAGATGTTTTGTGAAAAGGGCAACGACACACAACAATCGAAACTAATTCAGACTGCGTGTCGTTAGACCATAAATTTGAACTTTATGCACTGGCACCTTAGTTTGCGGGTCCATATGAAGGCTGACCCCGGATAATTGGTGCCAGGTGTTGCCTTGGTTTCCAGACCTGATCCAGTGAGTGATAGGAGCTTCGTTTTCTTTCTGTGTTTGTATAGCAAGGCTCTCTGTTGTAGCTCCGTACATATGGTAGTGCAAAGTTAGGCAGTACGTTTTATCTTAAAAAGATACTCATGTATTAAATTCACTTTAAATTCTGATGTATATAAGGAACTCCTAAAATCTTTTTATATATGCTCATTGCACTCAGGACCATTGGTACGGGATCTTTTTCGTGCATACGGTCTCATCCGAAGAACCTGTCTCCAAGTTCTGTAATGGGATGATGGGATCAGACTTGAGTTTTACTAAACTTCGTAAGTTACGATTTGATCGTAACCGTAAGTTACGATGAATTTCTGTCTTTAGTTACTAAACTTCTTATCTTAAGCTACGTTAAAAATCTTATCGTAACTCTACGACAGCCTATGATATCCCCAAGCATGGAAAATGTTTTGCACACACTTTACAACTAGTTGTCAAAGATGGGATGAAGGAGGTTACCCACATTTAAAAACAGTCATGGCAAAGGCTTCAAACATAGTGAAATATGTAAGGAAATCAATTAAAGCCACTGAAATCATGGAAGATGAAAAAAGACTTCAAGCTGATAATGCAACTCGGTGGAATTCACAACTAATAATGATCCGTTCCATAATGGAGATACCTGAGGCAAAACTTAATAAACTGGACACCATTCACTTAATTGGATATATATGAATGAAAATTACTGCAGGAACTGTTTGGTTTTTAAACCATTTGAAGATGCAACATTGATGGTGCAGCAGGAAAAAAATGTTTCTGGAAGTTTTAGCTATCCCAGTTATACTTGGTCTTGAGCACAAGCTAGCAGAACTTTCAACTACTTAGAGCAACAAGATGGTGTCCACATTGTTGTCTTCAATGACAAAAAGACTATCAGTATACAAAGATGATGACGTTTATCAACTATCTGCAGCATTGGATCCAAGATTTAAACTTTGGTGGTCAAAATCCCTTGTGGACTTTGAAGAAAAACTTCTGTCATATGCAAGGAGGCATGATTTGGCTACTGAAACTTCTAGTGATGATGGATCTCCTCCAAGAAGCTTATAATGTGAAAATGGAAGTATCACAGTACCTGCTTGAGCCATATACGGAATCAAATCCATTGCAATACTAGAAGGAAAATGCAGACATATTTCCTATTCTCGCAAAACTTGCAAAAAATACCTCAATGTACCTGCTACTTCTGCACCAGTGGAACGACTTTTTAGTAATGCTGGGAAAATCTTCAGGCCAGATAGATGCAGACTAAGTGGCTCTACATTTCAAATGTAATCACAAGTAATCATGATTACAAGAGGTAAAAGTAATCTAATGTAATCGATTACTTTTAAAAATAGAAGTAATCAGTTTGTAAATAGAAGTAATCAGTTTGTAATTGATTACTTTTAAAATCCAAACTTAAGTAATTGTAATTTAATCGATTACTTTTGAAAGTAATTAACCTTAACCCTGTCTTAGATGGTGAAGAACTTACTAAAGTGGAAGATGGGACTGAGAATTGGACAATGCATCATTTACTGGGAAACATCTGATGAAAGCATAAAAAATTATATGCTGTCCGGATAGGGCCATTTGCAAAAGCTCAGCAGCGCGTTCAGAAAAACACGCCGTCGCGCTAACACACAACACACTGTCAAGAGTTCGCACAACACGCTGTCACGCTAACACGAGTTCGCACAACACATTGTCACGCTAACGCGATTTCAAGCAACACGCCGACGCGCTAATATACAACACGCCGTTGCGAGTTGTGTGTTGGCGCGATGGCGTGTTGCTTGAAAACGCCTTAGCGTGATGGCATGTTGTGTGTTAGAGTGACGTGTTGTGCGAACTCGTGTTAGCGTGACAGCGCATTGTGTGTTAGCGCGACGGCGTGTTTTTCTGAAAGCGCTGTTGAGCTTTTGCAGATGGTCCTATCCAGACATCATAAATATATCTCTATAATTCAAGCTAATAAGAATTTTTGATATGCTTTACTAAACCTTTCTTTGGTGAAGATGCGTGTTATCCGCGCGCTTCGATTGATAAGTAAAGTACTAGTATTCAAATGGTTATGATACGCTTGTATACATCATTAACCAAACTATGTCCTATTTACTTTAGTACATTGAGGCTTACTTACATAAAACGTCCACACAATAATCATACTATGGAGATTTTACGTATTTTGGTGATGATATGGTTAAAATTGGATCATATTCCCAAAATCTGCGTTGTTTGTTTGATTGTTATTTGAACATTGCAAGATTTTGTAAAATTGTTTGAAATAATATAAATAAACTTCGTTTAACAACAATGTTTACTATCCTCACAAAATTATCTGTATGGTCTTTACTAAGTAAAAGGTGGTAAAGTAATAAGTACACATGTATTGTGATCAAATGCTTCTTGCTGAATATACACTGTATGTTGCAGTATACAACTTGTTGACTTGTCATATGACGTACTTCAACGATTTTTTTGTTCCATACAACACTTTAGACGATTTCTTATACAGTGCCGAAACATTTTATCAAATAGTCCATAAATATATGAAATGAATGTATGGCTCAACAGAAAAGTAGATTTCACTAAAAAATAAATGTTGATCATGGCATCGTCACCTTCAAGAAACCAATTATACTTCGTATATCTTGTATACAGCGCTTCTATTACTGGTGGAACGTGTGAAAAAATGAAAACAAGAAAAATCGTAAGGAACATCGCGTGACTAGAATTTCGAGATTTCCTTAACGCGGTTCTGAGAGACGTCTTCTTGGTAGATTTTGCCACTATTTCTTGCATATTTGATCTCCAGACATTTCTTTTGTCTCCAGAAATTCCTCTTTTGGATGTCAGTTTGGCGAATGACTCAATTAGCATCGCCTTCCTCTCAGCTAGTGGAGTAGCATGAACTGATTCATTTCCTATGTTCACTGAATCATTTATTGTATTAACTGGATCATTTACTTCATCCCCTGCCACATTTTTGGCAGCCGATTCCCTTCCCTGTCTCGGATTGTGAGTTTTTTTCTCTGCAAAAAATTCTTCATTGTCAGCAAGATCTGATATTACCTCCATATCAAAAGTAGTCGGGTTCCTTTTATTTTCTTTCGGATATTCTCTTGTCGATTTCGGTGGAAGTTGCACTTTATTGTCAATGACGTATAAAATTCTAATATTAAAAAAGGAAGAAACAAGAAAACTCCCTAATTATATCATTATTCCGAATGAAGAATATAAGTTTTCGATGACCGGAAATCTGTTGTTGGAATTTCTCACAAATAAATCCTTTTACTGTAGTGTTTTGAAAGTGTCTTAAAATTTGAACCTTGCCGGAACTGACGAAAACTGGTACGTTTATGAAAGTTGAGAAAACGGCGATGGCTAACATAATCAATTTCTTTTGCTTCATCGTTAGCTGTTTCTTCCCAATCTTGCAAGTTTTCTTGAACCTATCAAAAGATATGGCCAACATGGTCAAGACAGATATAAATATCAAACAGCGAATTCCAAAATTCATTACCCGACACCAAACATCGGAATGGGTTACAACTATTGTGAAGATGTATATTATCCCAGAAACTGACGAAATAGACACTGCTAAAAGGTCTACAGATGCTAAAACAGGGATAAAGAAACGTCCGTTGATAGGAATGTCTTTTGTCACATAGATCATTAAAACAATAGAGTTTCCTACCACGCCAGTGATAAAACACAGAATTAAAAATATAATTGACGGTAAAAGTTTTGTCCTCAAACTGAAATTCCATTCTGATATGCTTTGCATATTGGACGTCGTGGCTGATAAATAGTCAAGACAAAATAGCTATGACACATTCCTGGGGGTTAACCTCATGAAATCTAGTACTTATGTATGTGATTGAAGTTTCAACAAGGATTAGTAGAGGATGCTTTCCTTGTCTGTATGATGATCAAAGTCCTGAGCTTTGTTCATACTTTGAGCATAGCTTCATTATATTCATGCATTTTGCCATTAACCCTCGGGCCTGTATAATATACATTGTACCTAAAAAAATGTTAACCTTTATTTATCTGAGAACATTTCTTCGCTTGCCATTAATACGATAACAAGCAAATTCAAAGAATTGTGGTCCCCCGCTTTCGGTGTCTTTTTGGGTGAGATGTCATTTTTTATGACATTTTGTGTCTAATATGAACGCCCTATCATAAGTCATCTATTTACAAATTATCCCTGAACTCCAAGGTCAAGGTCAAAGGGTTAATGTTCTTGGTACCCAATGAAAATTCTTTTTAAAAGGACTACATATGTGAAATATGAAAGCCCTAGCTCTTACCATTCAAAAGCCATGATCAAGGTTAAAGTTTTCTCATAAGTACAAAAAATCTCCAAGGTCAAGGTCAAAAGGTCAAGGTTGTTGGTATCAAATAAATGGTCTCGCCACAAAGAATATATATGTGAAATATGAAAGTCCTGGTATCTACTGTTCAAAAGTTATGGCCAAGGTCAAAGTTTTTGAAAAGTAGGTCAAACTCCAAGGTCAAGGTCCAAGGGGCAAAGTTCTTGGTATTCAATGAAAGGTTTTCTCAGAAGAATTATATATATGAAGTATGAAAGTCCTAGGCCTTACCATTCAAAAGTTATGGTCAAAGTTAAAGTTTTTTCATAAGTACGGAAATCTCCAAGGTCAAGGTCAAAAGGTCAAAGTTGTTGGTATCCAATAATAGGTCTTGCTACAAAAAATACATATGTGAAATATGAAAGTCCTAGTGCCTACTATTCAAAAGTTATGGCCAAAGAAAAAGTTTGGAACTCCAAGGTCAAGGTCCAAAGGTCAAATTTGGTGGTACTCAAAGAAAGGTCCTGTCACAAGGAATACACATATAAAATATGAAAGTCATAGCTCCACTGAATCAAAAGTTATGGGCAAGGTTAGAGTTTTTATGACGGACGGACAGACGGACAGACGAATGATTTAACCTTCACCTTCATGATTAGTTTTATTTTTTAAAAATTCAACTTCGATGATAATTTCTAATGACATATGATAGGGTGGTTATATTTGATACAATATGCCATAAAAAAATGACATCTCACCCACAAAGACACCGAAAGCGGGGGACCACATTTCTTTGAATTTGCTTGTTTAATTTGCTAATTTTTGGAGAGGGCTACATTATAGCAGCTAAATCTAATCATCTTCATTTAGGAATGCTTTGACCCAAATATAAAGTTGAAAAATGTGTTAAGCTTTTTAAAAAGAACAGACAAATAAAAAGACAAACGATGGGTAATAAGAAATCTTCACCTGAGCTTATTATTGCAGCAAAGTTACATATAATTATAAAGTTTTGTTATTTGTTCACTAATAATTATAAATAAAAGTTGTTAAAGCATGTACGATACTGACCTTAGTATGTGAGTCCAGGGGGAGATTGACTCCCGATAGATAGTACCAGTCGTTGCCCTGGTCACCTGACTTCTGCCACTGAGTGACCGGGGTATTGGTTCCATTCTGAGTCAGAATCTGCAGTGACCCTGTTGTGTCTCCATACATATGATAGTAAAGCCTCAGGCAGTAGGTTTTTGCTGAGAAGGATATATTGGAACAAACGGAAAATATGTACATGATTGTATATCAGACATGAATATCCCTCAGATTAGTGCAAATAAATTTTAAAAAAAATTATGTACAAATGTGAATTCAGTGTTAAAATTAAAAGTCTAATACGTGTATATTGATTAAACCATGTACAATTTAAGAAATTTTATATGAATATTTTTTTATAAATAAAATGCAATTTTTTAAACATAGTTGGGGCTGCAGTAGTATCAGGCTGCAGTGCCCCCCCCCCCCTCCCCAACACACAAACAAACTCTTTGTCGTATATCATACATGTAATTAGGTCATGTTATTTGATTTTGTATTTACTTATTTAATCAATGTGTCCAAGTTTATTTTCCAGGTAATTTGAATTCTTTTTTCCAAAACGATACTTCGTACCTGGATAAAGACTGTCACGTTCAAGACATTATTAGACATTTATCTCTCTTACCTGAGTTTCAAGATCCTCATGTTTACGTTGCTAGAAACAACACTTTTGGCAACATCAATTTAACAATTTTTTTTTTCGGACCCCCCTCACTTGTATTTCAGCAACACTATACTAATGATATTATTTTAAATTCCAAGTCCCGGAAAATTCTGTTCGAATTCTTATTTTAACTGTTCTATCTTAGTTTCTAATTTCAAATATGCTTACTCCATCAGAAAAGGTAGAAAAATTAATTGTCTGTCAATTTCTTTCATGTTATACTTAAAAAAATGCCTTTACGAAAAAATAATAATATTATTAATTAATTACTCGCCCGCTCCTACTTATTTTCATCAAATGTTTGACGAACAAGAAAATTTGTGCAAAAATTTTAAAAAAAAAAAAATAACTAATTAATATACTCTCAACATATTGCATATTTTGTAACGATTGAATGATATTTGTTATATCCACTAACCTTGAAAGCTTTTCGAACTTTGTAGAATTGCTGCATCTCCATCGACATAACTAGATGTTTCAATATATTTGTAGTACAATCCAGAATAAGCCGAAGTTGGACCTGTGTCATAAGAGGATGTAGCACCCTAATAAAAAAAATAAATATAACAAAAGATTTAATTTTTTGTCTGGTTTACATGGAAGTAGTAGTTCAAATTGATATGTATTTGTATGTGTTTCTAGCATTCAAAGTAATCTTTAAACTATATTTACTGTAATTCGTGACCAATCGAAGGAATCACCCACTGCCTCGGACAAAAAACACGATGTTTCACCTGTCTCAAAATCGCAACGATCTACAAAATAATGATTAATTCATAGGCTTTGTTTGGTAACATGTATATAATCACTTTGTTGACCAGACTTGCGTACCTGATATATTTAAAGTTATTAAGGAGGTTGAATCGTGATTTTAATTTTTTTTATGGTCAAGTATATTTTTAGTTTCTACTCACGTATCTTAATTCTTAAATAAAATCAAAGTACTGAAAGTACTGAATCGAGGTGACGTCTTCCAGAAAAATGTGAAATTCACCCCCAAGTAACTGGCATATACAAAAATTTTAATCTAGGAGAAACCCCAATGAAAATCACTGGAAAGAAAAAAGTGACCAACACGACAATGCATTTTGTAACTTATTTGATGTTTAAAAAGTGAACTATAGTTATCCTTCAGTACCCGTCACCATAAGAGGAAAATACCTCGCATTTCTCTTCAAATTATATTTTGATTTGTTTCTTGTTATACAGTAGTTGCAGATCTGTAGCTCTCCGAAAAAAAATTCACAGACCGGAGAGCTACAGTGCCACCCATTGAAAAACTGGCTATTTATTGCGCAAAAAGAAGTGCGCTGTTTGTCGATTTATTTCTCCGTGTTTTTAAACTGTCATCTCAAAATATTACTAGCTGTGTGTTCCTAACATATTCTTTCACTCTTTCCACAACAAAACTTTCCTTATAATCGTTTTTAATAGCCCTCCTGGTCCTTAAATTGAGATCATCAAACATATCGTCTATTTATAATGCAATTTTTGGTTTGCAAGATAATTCAGTCCAACGCACTTCGTGCAGATGTCAACTACGACAGTGCTTCATAGAGGAGTAAGGAATTTTTTAAAATGTATCTTTTTTGCGATTTAGGTAAGAGTTTGGAAGAACTAATCCAGTACTAAGCACAACTTTTTGTGCGCAATAGATATACAGTTTTTTTTTCAATGGATGGCACTGTAGCTCTCCGGTCTGACAAAATATCTTTTTTGAAGAGATACAGATTTGCAGCTTGTTACACAGTAATAAGGATGAACATTATAATTAATGATATTAACAGAAAAGTGCAGACACTGGGCTTACATAAAACACTAAATAGAATAAGTATCCTCCCAGTATCATTTTGTCCACTGTATCCTAACTCTGTCACCAGGGTTCTCTACAATATATGCCAACGTATTAAAGAATCCCCCTTAGTAAAACTTTTCATGAACTTTGTATGAAAAAGAAAATAATGTACGTATCATATATTTTTGAAATTGCAGCATGAAGGCTCTTGGGCCGTAAAACTTAGATGAGCTCACTCTTGATCTCAGTCTCACTTTTCTACAAATACATGTACTAGTAATTCTTTATAAGTAAAAGTGAAATTATATCAAAAGTGCCTCGGAGCAAGGAAACAACATTTATCATTGATGCAGCTAGCATCTAATACAATCAAAACCCCTCTCTTTATTTTTTTTTTTTTTTTTGTGTTTTTTTTTTTGCCCAGAGCAGGCCCAGTTTGACATTTTAAAGAAAGGTATAAATTCTGCATTTTAAAATTTGACTTCCCAAATAGTAGATTAAGGGATTAGTGATTTTACTTTTGTGACTGAATTTGCCTATCAAATCAAAATCTATATTATTAGCTTTAAGATTTAAAATATAACTATCAAATCGAAATACTTAGCATAAGGTATTGTTAAAAAATATATTATTTCAAAGTTTCAAGTTACAAGGCATATACATGTCTACAGCTTGAAAACAAATTATTCGCTATTATCAATCTAAAGTTTATTACATCCTCCTCAAAGTTCATTTTCAAATTCCTTATATTAACTTTCTTTTTTGTGAATTCTTAAAATTATGAATAATAGAAACTACATAATATAATAGTAACTTTATTAAAAGTATAAGTTATTATGTAAACTAGATTAATAGCTCTAAAATTTACATGCATATCTCTATTTACAGCGTGATTCAATCATTTTAACAATAGAAATGATCTACCTTCGGTATGACATCGATAGATGTTTAGCTGTGTTAATGTTGCGTCTTGTTGTGTATAACTTGTAACAATGGAATTTTTCATATGCGAAATCCTAAATTCTAGAGGAGTTCCGACCGAGTATTCGATGAAGTGGTCATTACTCATTAGCATCCAGCGAAATAGGTACAGGTGCCCCGCTGTTATTCACCTTTTTCAACAGTGATAGCACCAAACAGATTTATAAGATCGGGGCGGTATTTTTACGTTCTAAACAGATTTTTCATAATGAATTACAAAAACAGAAGGGTGAAAATAACTCGCTAAAATAGTTCAGAGCGTAGGGATACTTCATATCTTATTCCCACTCAGGAATTTGTATTCAGTATTTGTAAATACATAAAAAAAACTACTTACTGCTTGGAAATTAAATTGAATACATTGTAGATCTTGTTTTGTGACTGAAATTCTGATTTTAATACATGTATAATCAGGGGACTATATTTCTTAGAGAACTGATAACAATTAACGTTTCAATATTTTCAATCAAACTTGCAAGTGCTATTGTTTACATATTAGCAAACTATCTCTGATTTGATCCTTGCCTTCTAAGGTATCATATTTTAACAACAAGATTACTGATCTGTCCCAAAGAGCGAAGATCAATAAGAAAATGCAAATGGTAGTGATCACAGGGGTCCGCCATTAAGCTACAGACCAGCTATCGAGGCTGACTTACGTCACCTCACAAAACCATAACAAAAAAGGGGGCAATATGTTTTTTTGTAATCTACAGCACAGTACATTTTATATGACTTTTTGCACTGAAATTTATGTCTTGATTAAAAATCATATCTTTAGCGTTTTCCCTCCAGCATAAAACATTTCATTGCGAAAAAAAAAACAAAAAAAAACACAACTCTGTGTGCAAACAGCATGGTAAAATAGGATCTAAACTTTACAGTACTGTATATATTTCAAAATATTGATCATTTTCTTCCAAGAACCTTCCGCCACAAAATTTAGTTCCTAGCTTAGTTCCAGACCAAATTCTGCTCAAAAGGTCAGGATCGAACCTCCTTAAAATTTGTGTTACCTGTTACTGTTAACTCATATACAAAAGTAAAGATGTGATGCATGTATAACTTTTTTTTAACATCTGAAAGATTTTATATAGCAAACTCTTCCCCGGAGTATGTGCTATCCACCTCTCAGAATTTTTTTTTTATTTTAACGCCAGATTCTCCATGTGCTATTTCACCCTCAGAAATTAAAATATACCTTATTAATATAAACACTTATTGTGAAATAACTAATATTCGTGGAGGTTTTATGTTCGTTGTTTTCTAGGCATGTAGAGACCCATGAATATTTTTGACCACCACGACATTTAGAATTTCATATACGGAATCTGTATTCTAGAGTAGGATTTCCCCAGAGCAAAAGTTCTACATCTTTCTCAGATTAGGATTTACCATCTTATATTATATCAACAGTATTGTGGCAAAAAGTTAATAAAAATATCATTTGATGTTTTGTTTTCCACATCAATTCATTTGGTGTTTTCGTCGAAAGAATTTGGTATGAAAGTGAGTGCCAACACAAAATTTTAACTCATGGGGATTTATTAATGAATCAATTAAAAAATTATAAGACTCGACGTCACAACACACTCTCTAAGCACAAGTACCTGCCTGCTTACGAATTTTAAAATTATATTAGGGCATTTTAGTTATTTGAGAATAGAATTGCTTTCCTTCTAAAGGCCCAATATTTCATCTATGGATTCTGATAAAATTCGAATATATATGTTAGAAATGAGTTCAGCATGTCATTTTGTGACTAATTTAATCAAAAAGGGGAAACTAAAAATAATGAACACAAGAATACAAGAAACACTGCTTTTGCAAGCCGATAAAGCAGCGTAGTATTGGATTTAAGTGTGCAGATCCAAAATATTCTTAATTTTTTTTCCATATCTTTTTTTATTAAAAAAAAATGACCAACATTTGTTTCATGGCAATATTTAAAAAGAGTTTGGAGATTACTGATAGTACATATACGGTAGTTGAAATACTAGTATGATTAAAGAAAAAAGGCATTTAAAATAGAATTCTTTCTTCTTTCTATGGATAGACTGACTTAAAGTCTGTCCAACCAATAGCATAGAACTTTTTTTTTTTTTTTCAAAAATCAGTTTGGCCTGGCAAAAAGAATATGCTTCTCAATTACTGAGAAAAACAAATTTGATTTTTCCCCCATAGTTCATAATTTGAAGAAGGGATACTTGTAACAATACTCCCCCCCCTCCCTCGTACATAAGTATACAGCCTTGATATTTTATGAAGGGCTTGACTCTGGGGAAGTTGCACTCTATAACTACTGAACAAAGTAAGATTTCTCCTGGAGTTGAATCTGGGAATCTGGTGTGAGATTTCCGTAAGGGAAATCCTACTTTATAGTCAGTTTTCCGGGGAAAAGATATTTGAGGGGAATCCTGCTTGGAGGGTAAGCTTTCTTCCTCAAATTTCGTTCTTCCCGGGAAACTGGTCCTACAGCAAAATCCCCGTCCTCCTCCAAATGCAGGCTATAAAGTAGGGTTTTTCGTACGGAAATCCCACATCAGATTTAATTTTTCGAGGAAAAGTATATTATTCTGTGTACTTATAGAGAACCCCAGTAATATATCATATCTGTTTTTATGTATTAGCGGGAGTGCGACACTATGTAACAAGTGTCTCATCTTAAAAATGGCCGCAAATTCCACTAATGCAAAAGAAGTATGAAAATTGAAAACTTTATTTGAAATTAATCATTTTTCTAAGAATCTGGCTAACTATGATTACCTGTCATACTTTAGAACCATTTTTTAAATAAATCATATTCTTTATATCTGGTCAAACTGGTTACTGAAAAAAAAAATTGGACAAAAATTGGGGGAAAAACAGAACCATTCAAGATGGTCTGAAATACATTTTTCTTTCTTTGATACCCCTGCGTCTCATCTTACGAATTTTGAGTGACTAATTTACAACTTCCTATGACTTAAAATTTTAAGCTGAGACTCATTGATTTAAACTTTATCTTTAAGATTTCATGCCAAAGACAATTCTACAGAAGAAAACTCTCATATTCCATGTAAAAGGATGTGGATTTTCATTTAAACTTTTAGCCATTTCGAAATTAATTGTTTTGAAATATTGCCTATATGATGTACCGGGTAAGCATTGATAAAAGAGGAGAAATCCCACTCTGAGAAAGAAAGAGGGAAATTGGCTCTATTGAGAGTTTTGGTGGAAATCCCAGAGGAGTATAAGACATTACGGGGAAATTTTACAACACCGAGCCGCATGATGAAACAATCCAATACATCCTTAAGAGAACAACAATTCAACTGAAGACTATTTTATCTAAATATACGGAAGATACTAGTGTCATTAATTAATTCAAGATCTTATTAACTAAACATGCAAACTTGCATTCTTCTCTTGAATTGAAGTTTAAATTATTGCGCATCAGTATTGGTATAGGTTTTTGATTAAAATTTGAATATTTAACATTTGTAAATAATTTTTTTAATGCTATTTGAAGTAAATAAGCATAAAGAACATTCGTAAAGGTTACCGTGTATGAGACAGCTTCCGTTTGTTCTGCTATAATAATACCCTTCTGCGCATTCCTAATTTAAAAAAAAAAGAAATTTTATCAGAATTATGGCGCGATGTTCAGACTACATTTAATGTAGTCTGAACATCGCGCCATAGCTACATGTACTGCAGACTACAGTTTGTTCCTGAGGCAATAATTGCTTGGAAGTAATTGTTATCTTACAATGTGGTGGCGCTGGCACAAATCTCCAGATTGACCAACAGAGCCGGTCGGGGTCCATCCTCTGATGGTTCTACACTGTAAACTCCCGTAACAAATGTCAAACGCGTTACATTCAATGTCCCTCAAACACCTCGGAGCACACAGTCCAACAAGTTCTTCTCTAGAAGTCCCCGAGTGGTTAGATATAACCTGGATAGAGTCAGGGTCCGATACCTCACGGTACTTTTCGAACTGAACGCATTCATTTGTACCCCAAACCTTACCAAACGCAAAAGCTAAAGAAAGGAAAATTGGTAGAAGATGCATTCCTGAACTGAAGTTTTCGGACGAAGGTCAATTAATAAAATTAAAGAGATATGTTAAAGCTTTATGAAGGACAGTATAGTCCCTCTCGATCTCTGTTATATGGGGTTACTGTGTCAGACCCACGCATTGTATAGGTCCCTAAAGGGTATACACGCCAGTTCTATTTTAGATGGGGAAACAGAACCCCGGACTATTCCCAGTTCAGATGATCATACAACATAAATCATTAAAGATGGGTAGATTGACAGACTCATCTCGTATCAAAGTTTGCGTTTCAATTTTACTTTTTTTTATTTTGCCAAGCGATTTCTCACTTGATGGTATCTTTGGCACGCCAATTCAAAATTCTCCTCAAATAATTAATAATAAACCCGTTCCAAATTTACATTGCACGCAATAAATTCGATTGATTATAGTATTAATAAATTTGCTGGATCGATTTGTTTCACTCCTCTAAACACTCCTCATTTCTAAACATAAAAGAATAGAGAAGTAAAGTTGATATTATAAAACATCTCTAGTTACAAAATGATTATGCATTGTGCAGATTTTAATTGATGAATTCCCTTGAAATTCAATCTGCACAATCACATAGGTAACAAGCTTTTAACCCTTTAATGTCCCCGTGTTAGAAAGGAAATGATATTGATAATAACAAATGAGTTGATAATAACAATACATCACTGAACATTTAAACATGGATTTTATCCAAGAATTTCTGAACAAGCAAATTCACAGAATTGTGGTCCCTCGGTTTGAGTCTCTTAGTGGATGGGATGTCATTATTTATGGCGTATTGTGTCAAATATGAACGCCTGATCATATGTCATTCTAAATTAATCAGGTTAAAAGTAAAAAAAATTAAAAATTAGGTTATTTAGCTTATTTATCAAGGTCAAGGTCTAAAAAAAATCATAGCATGATCGGAAATATCTTGTTAGAGGCAATGCACATGTCAAATATAAAAGCCCTATCTCTTCTCACTCTGAAGTTATTAGGAGAGGTAACCTTTATGAAAAGTAAATCAAACTTTATTTAAAGACACATTTAGATTCAACCAATTTAGATGAAAGTATATTATATACGACGCCACTTCTGCCTTACATTAATATTTCCATTTCTATTTTTTTTTCTCTGTGATAACTGAAAGTTAACGGAGTTCTGGATAATTCTACCGGAATGTAAATTAGGCAGGTCGATAGGTCAGGAGCTAAGGAGACCTTGTATGCATGCAAATCTCGTGCGCATCTGGCTCTGTGTCTGATGCTATAAATAAGGAGGCCAAATATGCATGTAAATCTCGTGCGGCTGCCTTTGTGTTTGACGCCAGTGGGCGAGGACTATTGAAATTGGCATGGGGGTCCGCGTGTAATTTAAATCTATGTCTACATTTAAAAATCTAAATCTACAATTTTATTTCACAATGAAATGGAAATATAAGAAATCACTGTCTATTTAGTATATATAGTTAGACAACGATAGTGTGAAACATGGGATAATTTGCATAGCGGACGAAGTCTGGTATGCAAATTATCCCATGTTTCACACTATCGTTGATTGTCTAACTATATATACTAACTAGACTTATATTCCTTAAATAAACAACTATGTCTTCATTACATCCATGATTCACACTAAACTTTATACGACTTTCTTGAAATATTTTAGGAAACGTAAGCAAGTCCATACTTAGATTCTTCAATTATATATATTTACAATTTGTTTTTGTGATTATGGATATTTAAGGAATCATTGTCTAGTTAGTATACTAGTAGTATACCAGGGCATCAACGATAGTAAGAAACTTGGGATAATTTGCATAACAGGCGAGAGTTTTATTATGTTCCCCAAACGAAGTTGGGGAACATATTGTTTTTACTCTGTTTCTTATTAAGGTCTTCCGTCTTCAGCGGAAGACCTTCTTGTTATTCTTAGGTTTCTTTTTCACTTTTATTATTATTATTGTTTTTTTTTCTTACCGATTTTGTGCACGCGATTTCTCGAAAACGGCTCGATGGATTTCTATGAAACTTTCAGGACTTATGTAACATCACTTGAACCTTATGCGTTTTTTTCTGTTTTGATGACGTCACTTCCGGTCCGGAGTTATAAGCATTTTAATGATTTTTTAAGGGTCAGTTTGTCCGCACGATTTCTCCTAAACGGCTTTAGATAGACACATGATACTTTCAGGTATGGTAGACCTAAGTCTGCAGATTTGTGGAATGTATTTCATTTTTATGGGAATTACCGCACGTCGGCGCTCGCTACGACCCGAAAATAGGCTTATCGCAAATTTAAAGATTTTTAACACCTTTGCTACGATATCTTTTTACCTGGAAATATATTGTTAAAATATGTAGAACAAAAGAAGTGTAGAATTCCAAGATCTTTTGAATGATATCTCGTAAAAAGGGCTGGCCCCTAAAATTAAGGGCCTAGAGGGGCCAAAAGTTTTTCCTTTATATCTCATAAAGTATTGAGAATTTGTAATACGTCAAAGAAGCAAAGTTGTTCAAAATGTCAAGCTTAATCCATTGGAGTCATTAAAATACGTCCGTCGTCGTCACTTCCGGCCAAACCGGAAGTAGTCGAAAAACGCGTATTTTTGCCGTTCTTAACCCGTTTTTGGGTAACATATGTCTCCGGGAGCATAAAAATTAATTTTCCGTCCGTCGTCGTCACCTCCGGTGAAACCGGAAGTAGCAAAAAATTGCTTATTTTCGCATTAATTAACATAGCTTTAGAGGATTCAAACCATTTTTAGACGTTATTTCTCATTTCTGTTAAAAATAAAAGCTACTTCCGGTCAAACAGGACGGAAGACCTACTCGTTGCTTTGCAACGAGCTTTGCTCTAGTTATTATTATTTTTCTTCTTGGGAAAATTTTGTCCGCGAATGATCTTGTAAAGTACACATCCGATTAAGGGGAAACCTTTTTAGGATAAGTAGGCATGTTATGTAGATTTGCGGAACGAAGGTCATTTTGCGTGCACGTGCTTGCAAGAGCGCGCACGTGCAACACGTGAAATGACCAATATACTTGAAATTGCCGTATCTTTTACATTTTTTGATGTAATGCTTTGATATTTAGAATATATAGACATATTATAAATGTAGATAAGATGACATTGTCAACATGCCATTTTGCCCGCACGTGCTTGCAAGAACGCGCACGTGCAACACGTGAAATGACCAATATAATGGATATAGCCGTAACTTTTCTACTTTTTGATGAAATCTTTTGAAATTTATAGTGTCAGGATATATTAGTAGCGTAGACAAGGTGACATGATCAAAAATGCAAGATCTCATGCGCATGCACGTGCTCTTCGCTCTGATTGGCTGAAACTAAAGTCTCTATATCTTTCTTGTTTTTCGACGAAATCCTATGAAATTTTGAACATTGCCATGTATTCAGATATCCGACAACATGATATATAGTAATTATCATGAAAACACGTGCATGCACGTGTGCTGCAATCTGATTGGCTTAAACTTTAAATAGCTATAACTCCCTTGGTTTTCAACCAAACAGGATGGGATTTAGAACATAGATAGATGTAAAGGACTTCTACAAGAAGATACGGTCACCATGCTCATGTATGCACGTGCGTGCACATGAAATTAGATAAATGAAAAATACACTTGAATGAGCGTATTTTTTTTATACTTTTGGATTAAATACTTTAATATTTAGTATAAAAAATATATATAGATTGTGTAGACAAGATGATATGGTCATTACGCACATGCATTCACATGCGCACGCTTGCAATGCTAAAATTTGAATGAACTTGGCGTTGTTAAAGTCTCAAATGCATAGATTTTGTCCTATTTAATAAAGCTTACAGGGAATATGGCACCAAAAGGGAGTTGGGGAGCGTTTGGGGAACATCTGTAACGGTCCCCGTTACAATTAGCACTAGTTGATGCATTGCTTCAGTTCTTTTTGCATGTACGATATCTTGTACACAGATTTACTCTATTAAATACTTCTAATATATACATTCAAACCCAGGTTTCATGCATTTCGCTTCTGCAAGGAAATCATAACTAAGTCATTAGGTGTCTAAATAAATCATATTAAAAGAATTTTATTGATTGCTAATGATATTCAACCGAACAAAAGAAATTGTGAGGGAGATCCTTTTCAACTCTACTGGTCAGAGACCAGAAGAGCTTATGCGATAGTAATGCGTCCGTCCGTTCTGTCTGTAAACAATTTTCAAAATGCCACTCCTCCTACAGTTTTGGTCCGATTTCAATATAACTTGACACACAAGTAGACTATACTAAGAAACATAATTCTGTGCATCGGTTTTTGATTTCGATGAACGGTGTTACCACGGCTACTAAGATAGAAATTTCTGTGAAATGCTTTCAAAATGCTACTCCTCCTACAGTTTTGGTCCGATTTCAATATAACATGGCATACAAGTAGACTATACTAAGATACATAATTCTGTGCATCGGCTTTTGATTTCGATGAACGGTGTTGCCGTGGTTGCTAAAAATAGGAATTTCTGTAAAATGCTTTCAAAATGCTACTCCTCTTACAGTTTTGGTCCGATTTCAATATAGCTTTGCACACAAGTAGATTATACTAAGATACATAATTCTGTGCATGGGTATTTGATTTCGATGAACGTTGTTGCCGTGGTTACTTAAAATAGAAATTTCTGTGAAATGCTTTCAAAATGCTATCACAAACATAGTTTTAGTAATAGACTACATTAAGATACATTTTTGTCTTTATTTTGTTTTTTAATTTATTTCGATGAACGGTGTTGCCATGGTAACTAAAATTGAAATTTTTTAAATTTTTTTTATTAAAAGCTACTCCTTCAGCTGTAGTCTTATTGCAATATTGCCACCAAAAGACTTTATCAAGGATAATTATTCTATTTAATGCTACTGCAACTTTTCTTTTCTTTTCTTATAAGTATAAACCAGTAGAGCTACAGTCTCGACAGACTTCTGGTTCAATTAAAGGTCA